TTATCTTTAATGGGTGATCATCACTCTAAAATTCTGTTATTTATTTTTTCCCTTTTATTTATTTTCCCTTCTTCACACAGGCAACTAAATTCTATTTGATATATATTCCTTTGTTTGTATATGTTCTTACAAAATTTTGCATGGTTATATTTCTGTTATGTAAATGGTATAGTGTTTAAATCTCATTTTGTTTATTCATATTTTTCATTGAGCACTGTTTTTAAAACGCATTCATGTTGATATATATATGTATATATATAACCTTATTTCTGATTGCTGCATAATATTTCATGACATAACATTTATCATATTTTAGCTATCAAGCCTCTCAGTGATAGGTTGTCTCCAAGTCTCCACCATCATAAATAACACAGCAATGAATATTTTAATGTATAACCTTTTACATGCCTGCCTAAGAACTTCTTTGTTATATATCCCAGGAGTAGAATTGCAGCTCATAGGATGTTTGCATAACTCAAGAGAGACACATCAACTGGTTGCCTGCCTCCCACATGACCCTGACCAGGGCCGGAGACTGAACCGAAACTTAGGTACACACCCTGGACTGGAATCAAACCTGCGCCTCTTTGGTCTACACACTGACACTCTAACCGCTGAGCCAAACCGGCAGGGCTATAGTTTGTACTTTTGAAGTTTTGCCTTTCTTTTTCCTCAGACGTAAACTATATATTTTTCTTTCATAATTTTATTTTTTACATTTATTATGTCTTTAATTCTCCTAGAGTTCAACCTTGTACAAGGTGTAGAATTGTGAAATGTGGTAATTATATTTCAAACCTTGATATATTAGTTTCTGAAAGGGAGATATTAAAAGCTCTAGCTACAATTATGTATCTATGTCTCCCTGCAGTTCTGTATATTTTAATATTATATAATTAGATGCATCTATGTGTTTTGCTTTGCATTTATGTGCTTGCCTATTGTTTCTTTTATGAGTATATAATGACTATCACTTGTTATCTTTTGAGACTAAAATTCCTTTTTGCCAGATATTAGGATCACAACCTAGTTCATATTTTCCTGGTGTATCTTTTTTCATCTTATCTTTAATCTTTCTATCTTTATGTTTTAACAGCATCTCTTACAGCCAATTTATTGTTGGATGTAATTTTTTTTTTTTCATCCTCACTTGAGGACATTTTTCCATTTTTTGTACAGATAGAGTGGGAGGGAGAGAGAGGGAGAGAGAGAGAGAGAGAGAGAGAGAGAGAGAGAGAGAAACATCGATGTGAAAGGGACACATCGAGTGGCTGCCACCCGCACGACCAACCAGGGCCGGGGACAAACTGCAACCGTGGTACATGCCCTTAGCGGGAACGGAACCCGGGTCTCTCCGTACCGCAGGCCGATGCTCTAACCGCTGAGCCAAACCGGCCAGGGCTGTTGGATGTAATTTTTAAAGATCCAATTGGCAAGATTAACTTATTTGCATTTAATGTGATTACTATATAAGATTTAGTCTTGCTGGGCCAGTGTGGCTCAGTGGATTGAGCATCATTCCATGGACTAAGAGGTCCTGGTTAGATTCCCAGTCAGGGCACATGCCTGGGTTTCAGGCATGTGATTCCCCAGTAGGGGGTGTGCAGGAGGCAGCCGATCAATGTTTCTCTCTCACATTGATGTTTCTCTCTTTCTAAAAAATCAATAAAAATATTTAAAAAAAGATTTAGGCCCAGGCCAGTTTTGCTCAGTGGTTAGAGCATCGGCCCGCAGACCAGAGAGTCCCGGGTTCAGTTCCCACTAAGGGCACATACATACCTCGGTTGCAGTTTGTCCCTGGCCCCAGTTGGGGTCGTGTGGGTGGCAACCACTCAATGTGTCTCTCTCACATCAATGTTTCTCTCTCTGTTTTCCTCTTTCTCTTCCTCTTGCTCTATCTGAAGATAAATGCAAAAAAATAAATAAATAAAAAGATTTAGTCTTACCATCCATTTACTATTCATTTTATTTATTTATTTATTTATTTATTTATTTATTTATTTATTTATTTATTTTTATCCTCACCCGAGGACGTTTTCCATTTTTTTGTACAGATAGAGTGGGAGGGAGAGAGAGGAAGAGAGAGAGAGAGAGAAACATCGATGTGAAAGGGACACATCAAGTGGCCGCCACCCGCACAACCAACCAGGGCCGGGGACAAAATGCAACCAAGGTACATGCCCTTAGCGGGAACCGAACCCGGTCTCTCTGGACCACAGGCGGACGCTCTAACCACTGAGCCAAACCGTCCAAGGCTCATTATTTTTATTTTTAACCTCCATTTCTGCTTTCCATTGACTAAGCTGAATTGTCTTCTATGGGTTTAAAATGTATACATAAGATTTTTTTTTCCTGTGGTGGTAGCCATTAACTTCAGACTCCTATTCATGGATTTATGAGAGTTCATCTATCTCAACGATTTGAATAAAAGCCCAAACAAAAGTTCTAAGCTTGATGCTTAAAGATCTGATGTATCATGTTCTCATGTTGATCCATGCACTGTTGCTGAGGTGGGAGGTATTTGATCTCCAAGGAAACATAGGTACCCTTACCAAAAAAAAAAAAGGAGGGGGTGAATGGAGACTGGGAGACCATAAAATAACACATGTCCACTTCTTCATATTAAATTAACTTCTTTGGGTCTCAGTTTCTTTATCTGTGAAATGGCAATGATAATATCTATACAAGGGGTGATGTGAAAAGCAAATTGGGTATTAGATATTAATGTCCCTTGTGAATCATGAAGTGATTTACAGGATTAGTTATTATTCTTGTTTTTGCATTCCTCACATCATATTACATCATTTGTTTAGTGTTGGTATTTATCTATATTGCTGCATAAAGAAGTACCATTCTAGCTAGCATTTTCCCTTAATTGTGCTGATGCCCATAGAATTTCCTTTTTTCTAAGAATAATGAATGGGCATGATGTCAGGATTATGTTTGACCCAGAAGTCAGTTTCTATCCAAAGAATCCAAATGTTGCAGGGCTGGGTAACTTGCTAGTAGACACACCAGACAGCAGCACACAGCTGAAAGTTTGGTAAAATGGTACCACACTGGGCTCCAGTTCCTTCTCTACCTCAAATTAGATGTGTGACTATAGCCACATCACTTAAACAATTTGAGGCTGAAAAATGGAGGTCATAGGAAGGTCTACCTTTTAAACCTGTGATAGGATTAGGTAAAATTATATGTAAAATACCCTAGCCTTGGAGAAAGTCTTAAACTTGTCAGACACAGATTCAAATCCCTTTTGTTATCACACAATGATTTCCATTCTGCTACATTATGGCTAAGTTGAATGCAGGTTCTTTCTCATCTCTAAAGTAGATTGAATTGCTCCTGTTTCCTTAGAGAATAACTGCTGTCCTCCTCAAGGCTTGATGTCTTTGGAATTTGGAATTTGGTAAGTAATACTTACCCAGCAGGATAGTTTCACAAGAGCGATCCTATTCTTCATAAGCAACCAGAGTTGATAATTCTGGTTCTTTTCACATATGAATGATTTAGAGTCAGACTAAACTGATAGTGTGTACTTGCTATATTTACTGGGATAGGTTCTTCTACCACACAGCTGTTCATAAACCTAGCATAATCTTATGAATTAGATAATAATATTCCAATTTTACTGATAAGGAAATAGATCACTTAAATTGAGTTACTTGACCAAAGTGATACAGTTGATTAGGAGAAAGGAGATACAATGTAAGAAGGATAGGTTTTAGAGTCAGACAGATCTAAATTAGGATCCCAGCACTGCTGTTTACTAGATCTCGAACTTTGGTTCAGTGACCTAATCTCTTAAATCTGACCTGAGGCAAGAAACCCATGAGCTTGCTGGTAATTTGTAAGTGTGGCCTGGATCCTAAAAAATGAGTTGAACAAATCAATATTTCTCTCTCAGGAATCTGAGTTAGGAAACATAAGGTAACTGAGACAATTAGTAGTAATAAAAACTATGACTAAAAGGATGTAGAGAAACATGAGTGGGACTATGTGTGGAAGGAGACAGAGTCTGTGCTATGACAAACTGATAAGGAAGCAGAAATTATGAGTAAACAGAAGCTATGAAATAGAAGAAGATAATATATGTTTATTCAACAAATATTTCTAGAGTTCTTTCTGTGTACTAGGCATTGTGTTAGGCTCTGAATATACAAACATGATTAAGAGACAGCCTCTGCCTTCACAGCATTTAATCTTAGTGGGGAAGAGAGACAAAACAGGTAAACAAACAAATAAATAACTACATATTGTTTTAAGGGCTAAAAAGAAAACAAATATGGAGCCAAGATAGAACATGCCAGGAAGGGAACTACTTAAGAAATAGCATGGTAAGGAAAGTTCTCTCAGAACAGGTAATTAAGTGAGACCTAAAGAATGAGAAGGAGCCAGGAAGAAGAGTACTGTATTTAAGGTAAAGGATGTGTAATGCCTGACGGTAAGAAAGGAAGTTGGAAAACAAAAACAAAACAAACCAGGTGGATAGAGGTGACATTTCCTGAGAGGGAGGAGCCTAGGGGAAGCTGATTTGACAGGGAAATTAGTCCTATTTCAGAGATGCTGAACTTAAGATGTCCGTGAGATATCCAAATAAATGTTAATTAAGTAGTTGGTTATAAGTTTGGAGACCAGAAGAGAGGTCAGTGATGAAGATATGAATTTAGAAATTACTAGCATAACGAGCATTTGGAGACATAGAAATAGTTGAGATTATCTAGGAAGAAAGTGTACAGAGAGCAGAGAGAGAAGCCAAGAGTTCTGAGGAGCAACAGATTTTATGACGGTCAAATAGACAAGAAGAATAAGGAGAGGCCTGTGAAGAGAGAAAAAGCAGAAGAGGAGAGAGTTTCAAGAAAATTAGAGAGGTCAGCTGAGTGTAGAAAGGTCAAATAAGATAAGGATAGAAAAATACTGGTCACTGATGATATTGACAAGAGTAGTATGAGTGAAATAGGTAAGCATCAAATAGGTTGATGAATGAATTGGAGGTGTTCTTGCTTTGACAGCAAATATACTAAAACTGTAACAATACTAAGAATTTGGCATGACTCCTACACATAGATGACACACAAATCTGTGAAGCATTTCATATGTTTTATATATGGATTTGACTTTTGGATAATGCTAGCTTTTACATATTCAAAAAGAAAATTGAATCAACAAGAATGAAAGGGATCCTAAAACTAAATATAAACAGAAACAAATAAACCTAACTAAATTTAAATAAGTAAGATAACTAGTGTGAAAGTTAAATAAATAAATAAATAAATAAACTTTGAACATAGTACTTTGAATATACACCATTAGTTGAAAAACAAAACTGCAAACAAATCTTGTACCCCACTTAGTAGATTGTTTTTAGTAGTGGAATAGATGTAGCAATTCTGAAATTATTGTGTGTGTATCATAACAATGAGCAAATGATAAAAGACCTTCATGCTGTTGAGAGCCACAGTTCTTGATGTGGGAATAGGGACATGCAAATAAAGAATGGGAGAAAGAACCCTGTGGTGTTGAATTGGAATTAGAAGAATCAGTAGTAAATTTATGGTTAAGAATAGTTGAACTAGATAAAGTTGCCATTTTTACCCCGGGGTTCTGTTACTTAAAGGGCCTCAGTAGCAATGACCAATCTGGTACCCAGATCTTGGTTTCTAAATACTATTCCCCACTAAATGGGGAGCTCTCTGGAGAGATGGATGATTTCCAGGGAAGACAGGGAAATTACAGTGATGAACCTGGAATATCTATTATTCCAGAAAGCAAAAAAATGCTATAAATAAATAAATAAATGAATAAGTAAATAAGTAAGTAAGTAAATAAATAAATAAAATAATAGCATGTTCAAAAGGATACCAGAGCCAGCTTGACAGGGCTCTCACTGGCCAAATCTAGGACAAGTTGAACATTAAAATGAATAATGACAGGAATGGATTATAAACTATTAAATAAAATAAGAATCCATGAGTCTATACTGAATCTGATAAATATATAAATAAATAAGAAAGAAGGGAAAGATCTTACTTTACAGTAGAATGCCAACTAAAAAATGTAGATGGAGTAATAGAGTTATAAAATCACCATTTTGCAATCATCATAGTAATTGATTCAGGCAATAATTATCAACAAATATTGAAAGCTTTGGGCAAAATTTTTGAAGAGAACCAGGATATTTACATAGTTTCAAAGGACCTCTCCACAGATTACTCATTATTTACACAGGAAAAATTGCTAACTGTACAATGAAGAAACCTGGCATATGCCACCTTAACCAACTGATTTAAGTGAACACCATCAATAATGGGATCAAGTGACACCATGTTTCTCCTCATCTGATGTACTGAGGATACAATATCCCATTGTATCCTGCCCCCTCCCCTAAAAAGTCTAATTGTAAGAAAACATGAAACAAAACCAAATTGAGGGAACTTTTACAAAACACCGGCCTGTACTTTTCAAAAATTTCAATATCGAAAATAACAATGAAAGACTAGGGATCTGTTCTAGACTAAAGAGTCATGACAGTTAAATGCAAAGCATGATTAGGGAATAAGGCACTGGATCGGACCCTGTATTGGAGGGGAAACTGCTATATAGGACATTATCAGGCCAATTAGTGAACTTTGAATATGAGCTATATATAAATATTATATCAGTGTTAAATATTCTGTTTGTTTGTTTGTTTTATCCTCACCGGAGGATATTTTTCCATTTTTTGTACAGATAGAGTGGGAGGGAGAGAGAGGAAGAGAGAGAGAGAGAAACATCGACGTGAAGGGACACATCGAGTGGCTGCCACCCGCACGACCAACCAGGGCCGGGGACAAACTGCAACTGAAGTACGTGCCCCTAGCGGGAACCGAACCCGGGTCTCTCCGGACCGCAGGCCGACGCTCTAACCGCTGAGCCAAACTGGCCAGGGCATTATATCAGTGTTAAATATTCTGAATTTGATCATCATACTGGGGCTGGGGGTGTGTATGTAGGTATAGAAAAGAATGTCCTTGTTCTTAGAAAATATATACTGAAATACTTAGAATAGTGGGAGTAAATACTACAATTCAAGTGGTTCAGAAAAAAACATACTTCTCTCCATATATACATGTATGTGTACACACATGCACTATACCCTGAAATAAAGAGATTGGGGCAAAATGTTCACTTCTGGTACATCTGGATGAAAAGTATATGGGAATTATTTGTAATACTTTTGCAAATCTTCTGGAAGTTTGAGATTATTTTAAAGTAAAAAGTTAAAAAATAAATTGGAGATGAAGAAACAGAAACAGTATATAGATAATTTTGGAGCATTTGACTATGAAGGAGAGCAGAGAAATAGACTAGAAAGAGTAAGGGTTATAAAATACTAGCTCTTTAAAGATAAGAGAAACCATCCCTGGCCCATGTGGCTCACTGGTTGAGTGTCAACCCATGCACCAAGAAGTCACCGGTTTGATTCCTGGTTAGGGTACATTCCCAGGTTGTGGGCCCAAACCCCAGTGGGGGCCATGCAGGAAGTGGCCAATTGATGTTCTCTCTCATCGATGTTTCTATATCTCTCTTTCTTTCTCCTTTCCTTTCCTCTCTCTCTAAAATTAAAAAATATATATATTTTTAAAAATAAAGATAAGAGAAACTAGAGTACATTTGTACTCTGTAGCTATAAACAATGATGGGCTTCAGTTTCTCCTTTTTAAGAAGAGAATTGATCAGATACCCTTGCCTGTCAGGCCGTCAGACTCTCTTACTTTTAGACACCATGAACTGTTCTGAAAACACCTTTTATTCCCTAAACTAGGAGGAAGGGACATTTGGGCCACCACTTGAGGGCAGTACAAAATGCGGCATGTCATTCTGGTGGTTTTATTGTTTCAGCTGCTGAAACAAAACCAAACCCTTTACATGATTTTCTTTCAAATGTATTGTGTGAAATAAACCTTCTAACACTCTTTTCAACTCTGCTTAAACAAGAAAAGCCCAACATAATTGATAACAGGAGTTTGTGGAAAGGAATGAAGGGTGAGAGAGAGGGTCTCATGCTTGGAAAAATGCCAAGCACATGTTATGAACTTAATAAAAAATAAATGATAGCAGAAAAAGCAGAGCATGTCAGAGTTGGAAGGAACCCTAAAAAAGGATGAATCTAGCCCTCTTATTTTACTGATATAACTTGGGTCCAGAGGAGAGAAAGGGCTTGGCCAAAGCCACAATGACATGGTAGAGAAGGTAATAGTTTCAACACTCATCTGGTTAGTCAGTAAAGACAGAGGTCATAACATCTTCAAAAAACATCCTAAATATAACTTGCAAAGAGACCAACCCCATCACTGGTGTTGATACTGAGTTCATAGGGAAAAAATGTGACACCTCAGTTGTAAGATGATGCCCTTGGGTCTTCCTCTACCCTGGGAAGATGTAACTATTCACCTTCAACTCTTATCCACTTCAACTGGTCCTATGCTCTGGACAGCTTAGTTATGATCACATTCAAACTGTTTCCCATCCCTTTCTGGCAGGACCCTAAGGGGTCACATATTAGACTTTCCTGCCAACACTGGAGGGTGGATTTGAAGACCATTGAAAAGAAAGTGAATGGGCACGGGTAAGTACATTGGAAAATTTAACAGTACCAGAGCAGTAGAGTGGAGGTGATCTTAAAAGGACAAACAGAAAATCCTAGTGAAATGTAAAAACTCTAAATATGACCTAAGTATATAATGGAAGAGAAGGTAACTTGAGACTGATCAAGATACAGAAACCAATATGACATCACATTGTGCTAATAAGTAGGCTCAAGTACATAGAAGGGACCCTGACTTCATTGTTACCCACAGAAAAATACTCGGGCATTAGCTTGGCATCTCAAACATCTCATAACCTGGCCCCAGCCTACTCTCTAGCTTCAAGTCCTGCCATAGTTCCCATTTTATGCTTCAGCCACTGCCTTCTGAGCTCTGGCTGCAATAGTTTAACTGCTCTGCTCTGCACTTGCTCCCTTTCGGGGTTCACCTAAAACGCCATGTTACTTGGATGTTTTCCTTGTTCTGACCTTCACATTTACTTGAGGGTTCCTTTTGGCTCCCTCAGGCATTACCTGTACTTATCTTTAGCATTCATTTCTTCCTTGTCTTTCCCACTACACAGTGAGCACTATGAGGGCATGAACTGGGTCTTTTTTTCCGATATTTTGTTCAGATAGAGTGGGGGAAGAGAGAGAGAGAGAGAGAGAGAAACATCGACGTGAAAGGGACACATTGAGTGGTCGCCATCCACAATCCAACCAGGGCCGGGGACAAACTGCAACCGAGGCACGTGCCCTTAGCGGGAACCAATCCTTAGCAGGACCGCAGGCCGATGCTCTAACCACTGAGCCAAACCAGCCAGGGCTGAACTGGGTCTCAATGCTACTATTATTTTAGGGATTGTTTCCATTTATTAATAATCTACCAATAATCTGTCTTATCTTTCTATCCTCTCCTGTCTTTCCAGCTCACTCTTCCAACATTTCAACTTCACGGTTCTCTGATACCACACTGGGTCCTACAAGTCAGTGATTCCAACACCTGTTCATCATTCCTCACCTACCTCATGTTCTCACTTCTCTTCTTATCCACTTAAATTCTAAGGTTCACTTTTATAATTCCCTTGACATGTCCTCTTCTCTCTTGCTTCCTCTTGCTCTCCTCCTTTGGGAAAGTAGATGAAGAAAAGCCCACAAGAATGTCAACTGGACTCTTAAAATGCATCACCATTAACCTCAAGTGGACCTTTAGTGCTCTCTATTAATCAGTTTATTTTAAAAGTCCATAAACTTTCCCTAGATGGTTGTTTTATACCTTTTCTTTTCTTAAACTTCTAATGCCTTCTCCTTCTTTTCCCTCTTAGCAGATAACCCACCCACCTGCATCCATGCCTGCACACTCAGTCCTCTCTTCGGTACTCTGAAAGCCAATAATTTTCCCTATGCTCCAGCAACCGTCTCTCTTGCTTACATCATCAATATTTCCTTTTCGAAAAGATCATGCCACAGCTTAAAAAAGTGCTATTGTATCTCTCACCTTAAAAAAAAGAAAGCTCTCTTGACCCCATCTTCCCT